CACCGCGGGGCCGGCCCTGTGGAGAGTGCAGAGAGCGCCAAGGCTTCGGTGAGGAGGCCCGAGGGGCCTGGCTGGAGTCGGGCCCAGGAGACTCACTTATCAGCTGCCGTCTCATCTAGACTAGTTTGTTGGTGAACAATTGTTCATAGCATTCTCTTATAATCCTTCTAAGTTCTGTCAGGTCGGTGCTAATATTTAATTTTTCTATTTTATTCTTGTCTTTTTGTTTGTTTTGCTGTAGAGCTCTGTGCTTGCTGGAGAGAGACACAGGGAAAGTGAGAAAGCCTCCCCTGGAGATGGCCACACTGCAGCGCCTTCATTCTCAGATTCTCTCAGACACACAGGTGCGCACTCTTTCAAGGCTGCCTGGTCTGAGACTCGAACTGCAGAGTTGGTCCTGTAGGGTCTAGCTACCTTCACCACCACGCCACCTACTGGCCCACCTTAAGTTTTTAAAACTTACTATCATAATATTTTTATAGTACATTGAATCACATGCATCTTTACAGTTCTTTTTCCAGCATGATTACCTGCATATCAGTCAAGACAAAGACATGACTATCCACATCATCAACTAGCTTATTTTTTTCATGTTATTTATTCTCATTATTTTTTTAAACAATCACTATATCTCATTTGACTTCTATGAAGAATTTACCCACCATGAGGTACTAAGCAGACCAGTCCAGTAGCGAGTACTGTACATGCTGTCAACAGGTAATAGACCGTCCTGTGTCCCCAGGTGCACACCTCTCTGTCCCGTGCTGTCCTCTACTCCTCCCTGCCCCGCCCCGTTCCGCACCATCCTCAGCACCCTATTTTCACTGCATTTATACCCTCAGTATTTCAACCTGTCCCATAAAGTGCAGGTTGTCGGTGTAAGGTGGCCTACCCTCGTTTTTGAAGGACAGTTTTGCAGGATTGAGAAGTCTTGGTTGACACTCTGGCCTGTTAGCACTGGGAGTTAATTGTTGCACGGCCTAGCCTCCGGTCCGTGATGAGCAGTCACTTACCGAGGACCCGTGCATGTCGCCGGTGCTGCTTTCAGGTGTTTCCGGTCTGTGGTTGGACGCCCGGTCCCATGGAGGCCAGCCGTGGGCTCCTTTGGGTTCCTCGCGCAGGTCCTGAGGGTCGTGTTCCAGCAGATCTCAGGAGGTTCCCGCCACGGTTTCATTGGGCGTCCCCTGCATCTTTGTCTCCGCCAGCTCTAGAATTCCTGTGCACATGTCACGATGCCCGACTGTTCCCACGGGGCTCCTGGAACCCATCTTTTAACT